AATGACAACTTTGAGTTTATGCCATAACTCTTCCTTAGTCTGAATTAAGCATTTTCAAATCCCACATTGAATTTGGTATGTTTCTTTGTGACTATTTTGCTTTTTCTACTTAAGCAAATCTATATAACATAGAGTCTTTGATTAGCTTTTTTTTTTTTACCTTGGTTGTTTGTAATATTTTAATTGTAGTAATTGTCATTATTATGATCTCACCAGATATTTAATTCATAGTGAAACTCAGCAGAATCTTTGATACTAAAAGTATTTTTCTCCCCTTGCAAAAAGTTTAGATGTTTGAAGAGCTGAAATGCAGGGCACTGGAGACAGTAGCATTGCCTATCAGCCTTCCATTTCTCTACTTTTCTACTGTGGCACTATTTGCAACATCTCTCCCAGTGCAAAATTTAGCTAAATTTTCATGTTTCTGTCTTTAGTTACCCTTATAGAATTAAGAGTAAGATGTATTAGTCTTTGTTTTCTAGAGAAATATAGGTGTTAAGATGGATGTAAATATGTAGAAAGGGATTTATTAGGCAATTTTGGAAGCTGAGCAGTCTTATGATCTGCTGACTACAAGCTGAAGACCCAGGAAACTCAGTATTATAATTTCAGTTCAAACTTGAAGGCCTGAGAACCAGAGGAGCCAATGGTGTAAGTTCCAGTTCAAGTCCAAAGCCTGCAGAGCCAGGGCACCATGCCCAAGGGCTGGAGAAGATGAATGTGTGCAAGCAAGAGAGAGCTCCCTTCTTGTTCTATTCAGGCCCTCAATGAACGGGACAGTGCCTACTGATATTGGTGATAGGCAATCTTTACTCAGTCCATCAATTCAAATGCCAGTCTCTTCAGAAATATCCCCCACAGACATACCCAGAAATGTTTTACCAGCTATTTAGGGATTCCTTAGCTATCAAAGTTGCTACATTAAGATTAACCATTGCAAGATATGACACTTAAATCTGACAATTCTACTCTTCTGCTACAGAATGAAAACTAATTTGAACATTTCTTCACCCCCTCTAAATAAATCAAGAAAATAAAGTTTAATAGAATCTTTCTTCCTACCACTTAAACCTATTTCTTCCTGATTCGTTTCCATAGAAATAGAATAAGAAGTTGTAATCATTTGTGATGCTTCCCTGTGTAAATTTTCTATCCTGGGTACCCCTATCTGTAGTCTTCTTTGGGGAAAAAAAAATGCCAGGTCCTTTATCATTAACACTTTTTTATTGCTGTGCTTATTCTCTTTGGTTCTAATTACTTCACTGAAGCTATGGGGCCCAGACAATACCAGAGTCATAAATGTGTGTTTGCCTGTTATGCATAAAATATGTTTGTCTGTTATGCTTCAGTGTTTGCCTTTGTTCACAGAGATTAAAGTTTTGAGTTATTATTCTTTAAGATGTTAGGGTTCCAGTTTTCTAGTTAAAGTTTAAGGGGTTCTTTCCAATTTCTTAAACTCTATTTTACCATTTTTTAAATTCAGTTGCATCTACCTGTCTTAGATTTCTCAGACATAAGACATGGTTAAAGTACCAACCAAATGAACAGTCAATCCTGCCTGGGATTCTGTGTTTCTGGGCTCCCATTCCAGTGACCAAGACTAGATAACACATAAACTTCAAGGACCTCATCTTATCCCCAACTTGTGGCTCAGACAGTAAAGAATCTGCCTGCAATGTGGTAGATCTGGGTTCAACCACAGCGTTGGGAAGATCTCCTGGAGAAGGGAATGGCTACCCAAGCCAGTATTCTTCCCTGGACAATTCCAGGGACAGAGGAGCGTGAAGGGCTATAGTCTATGATGTTGCAAAGAGTAGGACAAGACCGAGTGACTAACACACACAAACAAGACCCTTCTCTTTTCTCCTCAGTGCCAACAAGCTCTTTTTTGTGCTTTGAAGCTGAGGTCCTTCTAAATGAAAGGTGCATCCAACCTAAATCTTACCAACCTAAAGGGAGACAAGAGAGTGGTATCTGAGTGGGTAGAATGATGACCACATTTTGGAGCCACGGTGTTTCAGTTTTTAGGTTGTGTCCCAATGAGGGACTTTGCCTACTCAGAGGAAGTAGATTCTTTCTTTACACAAAGAGCTATGTCTAAACAAGATGTGTATTCCTCATTGTGTCTACCTCAAGGCGGTGCCTTTTTCTAATTCTTGAAATTTGCGCTAATGGAGACCCCATCCCTTTGATTAATTGAGGTGAAATTCACATAATATACAATGAACTGTTTTAAAGTGTACAACTGAGTGGTATTCAGTGCATTCATAATGTTGTGTAACCACCACACCTCTCTCCAGTTTCAAAACTTCTTCATCCCAAAGAAGAATATCTAATAATCCTTAGGTAAACATTCCTAAAGGTTGGTGCTGGGGAAGACTCTTGAGAGTCCCTTGGACTACAAGGATATCAAACCGATCAATCCTAAAGGAAATCAACCCTGAATATTCATTGGAAGGACTGACGCTGAAGCTGAAGCTCCAGTACTTTGGCCACCTGATGCAAAGAGCTGACTCATTAGAAAAGACCCTGATGCTGGGAAAGTTTGAGGGCAAGAGGAGAAGGGGGCAACAGAGGATGAAATGTGGGATGGCATCACTGACTCAATGGACGTGAGTTTGAACAAACTCAGGGAGATAGTGAAGGACAGAGAAGCCTGGCCTGCTTCAGTTTATGGGTCACAAAGAGTCAAATGACTTAGTGACTGACCACCACCACCACCACCAACAACAAATCATCCCCATTCTCCTCTTCCTCCTGTGATTAACTCACCACTTTGATTTTATGACCAAAGATTTCATCCCTTAGCACAGAAGTTCCATTAAGTGTCTTTTATTTCATCTTTGCTTCATTCTTGAATGCTCCTTGGAGGTTAAAATGAGGACAGTGAATACCAACTTCATGTTCATATAAACCCAGCCCTTCGATGGATTTTTATTTTCCGCTTCACAATACAGGAGGGAATTGTGTAGGTATTAAAAAATACATCAGTTGTAATTCCCTTTCCTCACTTTCCCAAGAGTATTTTGAGGAGTATTAGAATTAATTGCTAACAGGATGTTCAGAGTCAGTCAGTTCAGTAACTCAGTTGTGTCCGACTCTTCTCGACCCTATGGATGGCAGCACACCGGGTTTTTCTGTCCATCATCAACTCCTGGAGCTTGCCTAAACTCATGTCTATCAAGTTGGAGATTCCATCCAACCATCTCATCCTCTGTTGTCCCCTTCTTCTCCTGCCTTCAATCTTTTCCAGCATCAGGGTCTTTTCCAGTGAGTCAGTTCTTTGCATCAAGTGGCCAAAGTATTGGAGCTTTAGCTTCAGTAGTTGGTAATAATTGACTCAAGGATTCTCTGGGAACCACTGAGTGATGGTTTAGAGATTCCTCTATTATAGGACATCTCAGTCATTTTAATTTTCTAAGGTGCTGTATATACCTTCCATATGTTGATAACACATGCAACACTATTTGACCATTGAATATTTTTTCCCCTTTGGGCATCTGAAGGGATTAATTATTAATGTGTCACCTATTTAGGAAATGATCTAATATCCAATGCCTGTAAGGGACATTGCAAGAAATAAAATTCAGTTATATCATTCTCCAGGTTAGAAACAGCGTCCCAGGAAAGCAAAGGGACTTGTTCAAGAACTCATGGATTGTGGGTTACAAAGTGGGGACTGGAGTTCAGGATGCCTTACACCTTATGATGTGCTGTGCTGGGCTAGGTCGCTCAGTCGTGTCCAACTCTTTGCAACCCCGTGGACTGTAGCACACCAGCCTCCTCTGTTCATGGGGATTCTCCAGGCAAGAATACTGGAGTGGTTGCCATGCCCTCCTCCAGGGGATCTTCCCAACCCAGGGATCGAACCCAGGTCTCCCACATTGCAGGCAGATTCTTTATCATCTGACTATCCGGGAAGCTTAATAATACTGGAGTGGATAACCTGTCCCTTCTCCAGGGGTCTTCCTGACCCAGGAATCAGACCCAGCAGTCTTCTGCATTGCAGGCAGATTCTTTAGCAGCTGAGCTACCAGGGAAGCCCACACCTTATGCTAATAACTGTCTTTCCAATTATGTACTCCTTTTGTATCCCTGATGATTTAAAAAATTGTCCACAGAATCATATGTGAATGAACTGAATATATTTGGTGACACCTCAAGAAGCCAAATGACATAAAATTGGTATTCTGGGACACCTATACCATTAAGTTGCATGCTTGAGGACTTCAGGGAATAGTATCTAAATACTGATATATTCTTTTAATCATATATTTTGACTACAGATAGACAAGGAAAACCACCTTTTAAAGGCTACTGCTAAAAGCACAATAATAAAGAAAAACTGCAGCACTATGCCACATTTATTGACATTTTGAAAAATGCCAGTACCCCAATATCAATAACAGATACCAAAGAAAACAAAGCTCCAACAATGACTTCATCACTGAAGAATGAAAAATTTTATTAAATCCAAAAGCCGATGAGTTGTTGAAACATTTCAGAAGATATTTATAGTAAAGTATTACACATTTCTTTTCACACTGTAGGACTTCTGTTGATATACAGATCTATGAAATATTTTTGGTTTTTTATTATAAATCAATTTCTACATTAGGGAAATTATGTTAGCCCTGTGACATGAGGTGGTAGGCTGGGTTATGGATACTGGTGCTTAGAAGTTTGTTGGGACTCTACATTGGCTAATTTTGAAGTGCCATGGTCTTAGGATTTCCATCAGAAGGTTTTTAACAGATGGGTTGGCAGCAGGTGGGCTCACAGATGGGCTCAGTGCAGGTGGGCTGGCAGCAGCAGGCTGGGCGGCAGCAGGACTGCCCACAGTAGGATGGGCGGCAGCAGGAGGCCTGGGCATAGTGCAGCTGGCAGCAGGATGGGGATGTGCAGCTCACCACACAGCAGGGAGGCAGGCTGGTGCCCTCCACGCGGCAGTCAGGGCGGCACCATCTGGTGCGGCTGCTCACAGCTCCACTGCTGCCCACCTGGCCATAGCCAATGCTGCCACCAATGCCATAGCCGGTCCCACAGCCACTGGTCTGGAGGCAGGTTGGCTGGCAGCAGCTGGTCTGGATGGAAGTTGGCTGGCAGCAGCTGGTCTGACTGCAGGTTGATTGGCAGCAGCTGGAGCCACAGGTCCCAGCAGTGGAACAGATGGGAAATCCACAGAAGCTAGTAGAACAGCAAGCCATGGTGTCAGGGGTTAGGCTGAGAGCTGGAATGCTTGGAGAAGTTTCTGAGTTAGGTCTGCTTGTTCCACTCAGGCCTTTTATAGACTTTGGCCACTTCCTGTTTTTGTGATGGACAGCATTTTTATCTTATTACTGTTTTAAACAATCTTTTCCAGAGCCCTCTGATTGTTGAAACAATGAGTTATTTTAAATATACCTCCAAATTGGATTTTCCTTATTGCTCAGCTATTGCTCACCAAATGTGTTTGTCTTTGGTAGAAATACTGATGTTTTGTTTTCAAGTAATGCTGTAATTTCTCTTCATGTCTCAGCCTTTGTTTTGCACTTATGATCACATTACTGTCACTCATAAGACAATGTGACTATGGGATCATATTCTCCAAACCTTCAGTCTCCAGAATAAAATTATTAACCATTTATTGTCCTTCATCTAAGCCTTCATACTTTTTTTAGGTAATTGAAATTACAGTTTCTACAAGCAGTCAGATAGAAACTGATAAACTCCACATTCATAGGAATTCATAGATCTTTCCAGGATCTCTCCAATTTCTATGATTTCTTTTGAACTTCACACATTCAGACTTGATGAAACACTTATCACTGAGGCGAGTATGAAATCTCCATCCTAATTTACTGTATTTTGTAATTAATATTAATAGCACAGATTTAAAAGAAGGACTAAAATTCATACCCAGTAATTAGGGAAAAAAGTCACAAAAATTTTATGTGTAATTGACATTTCTCTCTGAAGGATAAGAATCACTTCTCTATGGATTATCTGAACAGTATTTATTTCTCAAAGGTGGGATTCATTTTCAATTTATGTCATTTTTTATGTAACTACAACTTGTTTCCTATGAAAGGATGATATTAGACCAAAGAGCATGACAATTGAATTTATGAAAGAGAACCAATAAAAGAAGAAGCAGAAGCTAGGAAACACTTTTTTTGGATCACAGTCTTTTTTTTTACCATTTATTTTTATTAGTTGGAGGCTAATTACTTTACAATATTGTAGTGGTTTTTGTCATACATTGACATGAATCAGCCATGGATTTACATGTATTCCCCATTCTGATCCCCCCTCCCACCTCCCTCTCGACCCGATTCCTCTGGATCTTCCCAGTGCACCAGGCCCGAGCACTTGTCTCATGCATCCAGCCTGGGCTGGTGATGGATCACAGTCTTATAATGCAGATTAGAGTTGGACACTACTTAACGACTGAACAACAACAAGGAAGGGAATGGATGATCAAATGTCATTCAGTAGATACAAGTGAAAAGAGATTAAGAAAAATTTCAGCAAAGCAAAGGTTAAAACAATTCTTGGTGGTTTCCAAATGTATGCGATTTTCCATTACAGGTTTGGAGTTATACAGGAGGAAATGAAAAAAGTGGTGGCCAAAAGCACACGTTATTGCTACTTGTGGTGGGTTTGCTCTTGCCTTCCAACCCTGAGTAGAAGCACATAGTTAGCTTTTATGACGTGGAGGTTTGGTTTGTACAGCGATAGAATTACAGTAAAGAGTGATTCATGGCAGTGTCAATAGAGATGTCCATTTCATGGTAACCATGACTGCAGGTATGAAGTTAAAGGACGGTTAGGGGAATCCCTGAATATTAGAGATCAAAAACTTAATATGTCATTTTGTCCAACCATTTAATTTTATAGGTTTGGAAACTGACATCCTTCCTTTTATAAATAGCACATGTTTATTGAATACTATTATGCCTTGGGCACTGAAGGATTATGTAGAAGGGAAGACCCAATCTGCTGCCTCATATCTTACTCTAGCGCACAAATCGGCATAGTACCAATAAGCCAGAGTTGAACATAGGAGCAGGATGTTCCTATGGAGATGCAGACCAGAGAACAGACTTGTGGACCCAGTGGGCAAAGGAGAGGTTTGGATAGATAGAGAGAGTAGCGTTGAAATGTATATATTACCATATGTAAAATAGATAGCCAGTGGGAATATGCTGTATATCACAGAGAGCTCAAACTGGGTGCTCTGGGACTGCCTAGAGAGGAGGGATGGGGTGGGAAGTGAGAAGGAGGTTAAAGAGGGGAGGACATACATGTGCCTGTGGCTGATTCATGTTGATGTATGGCAGAAACCAACACAATATTGTAAAGAAATTATCCTCCAATTAAAAATAAATAAATTTGAAGAAAGATTGATGTGTGAAACAGAAAAAAAGAAGGAAACATTCAGCCTCAAAGTTCTAAATTGGAATATTGACATTGTGGTGTGAAGCATTTCTAATTTCCTCTCAGCATCAGTTGATATTAGAATGCTATGGAATTTAGGAATGACTGCACTTTGGAGAGGCTAGTAATTTGCTCCATTCACACAGCCAGTACACAGCCAGAAGAGCTGGGTATGAAACTTCTATTCCTCATTCCTAGATCAGTTCATTTTATTTTACACTGTGTTGCTTTCCAGGATCAATTAAAGTTAGTAAAACTCACTGTCTTCTCTGTTTTCTTCTAACATTTCTGTGTGGTTTTAAACACACAGCAAGTAAGTATAAATATTTAAAAATTGTTTAAAGTGTCTTCTGACCAGAAGAGTTTCCCGTAGATCTGCAATTTCGAATTATTTTATTCTTAGTTGTTTCTTGTTTCCTACATTCAGATTGGTTAATTCTCCACCTGGGTTTCTATGTCTGCCATATTCTTTGTGTCTTTTTTATTCCATGGTAATATCTCAGTTAACACTTACTGTGTATCACTTAGACCATGGCAATGGTCTCTTGATTGCTTCTGTATAGTCATTATTATGTCTAGACTTTGGCCCTTTGTTTTTATAAACATCTACCACAGAAATCATCCTTATGCCCAACTCCTGTCATGCCATTCCCCTGCCCTAAGGCTTTCAACAGTTCTTTGTGTTTGTTGAATAAATGGCATATTCCTTTGGCTAGTTCTAAAAGCACACCATTTTGAGTTTATTTTTGTGTATGGTGTTAGAAAGTGTTCTAGTTTCATTCTTTTACAGGTGGTTGACCAGTTTTCCCAGCACCACTTGTTAAAGAGGTTGTCTTTTTTCCATTGTATAGCCTTGCCTCCTTTGTCAAAGATAAGGTGACCATAGGTTCGTGGATTTATCTCTGGGCTTTCTATTCTGTTCCATTGATCTATATTTCTGTCTTTGTGCCAGTACCATACTGTCTTGATGACTGTGGCTTTGGTAGAGCCTTAAGTCAGGCAGATTGATTCCTCCAGTTCCATTCTTCTTTCTCAGGATTACTTTGGCTATTTGAGGTTTTTTGTATTTCCATACAAATTGTGAAATTATTCGTTCTAGTTCTGTGAAAAATACCGTTCGTAGTTTGATAGGGATTGCATTGAATCTGTAGATTGCTTTGGGTAGTATAGCCATTTTGACAATATTGATTCTTCCAATCCATGAACACGGTATATTTCTCCATCTGTTTGTGTCCTCTTTGATTTCTTTCATCAGTGTTTTATAGTTTTCTATGTATAGGTCTTTTGTTTCTTTAGGTAGATATACTCCTAAGTATTTTATTCTTTTTGTTGCAATGGTGAATGGTATTGTTTCCTTAATTTCTCTTTCTGTTTTCTCATTGTTAGTGTATAGGAATGCAAGAGATTTCTGTGTGTTAATTTTATATCCTGCAACTTTACTGTATTTGTTGATTAGCTTTAGAATGGATTAAAGATCTAAATGTAAGACCAGAAACTATAAAACTCCTAGAGGAGAACATAGGCAAAACAATCTCCGACATAAATCACAGCAGGATCCTCTATGACCCACATCCCAGAATTTTAGAAATAAAAGCAAAAATAAACAAATGGGACCTAATGAAACTTAAAAGCTTTTGCACAACAAAGGAAACTATAAGCAAGGTGAAAAGACAGCTCTCAGATTGGGAGAAAATAATAGCAAACGAAGCAACAGACAAAGGATTAATCTCAAAAATATACAAGCAACTCCTCCAGCTCAACTCCAGAAAAATAAATGACCCAATCAAAAAATGGGCCAAAGAACTAAACAGACATTTCTCCAAGGAAGACATACAGATGGCTAACAAACACATGAAAAGATGCTCAACATCACTCATTATCAGAGAAATGCAAATCAAAACCACAATGAGGTACCATTACACACCAGTCAGGATGGCTGCTATCCAAAAGTCTACAAGCAATAAATGCTGGAGAGGGTGTGGAGAAAAGGGAACCCTCTTACACTGTTGGTGGGAATGCAAATTAGTACAGCCACTATGGAAAACAGTGTGGAGATTTCTTAAAAAGCTGGAAATAGAACTGCCATATGACCCAGCAATCCCACTTCTGGGCATACACACCGAGGAAACCAGATCTGAAAGAGACACGTGCACCCCAATGTTCATCGCAGCACTGTTTATAATAGGCAGGACATGGAAGCAACCTAGATGCCCATCAGCAGACGAATGGATGAGGAAGCTGTGGTACATATACACCATGGAATATTACTCAGCCATTAAAAAGAATTCATTTGAATCAGTTCTAATGAGATGGATGAAACTGGAGCCCATTATACAGAGCGAAGTAAGCCAGAAAGATAAAGACCATTACAGTATACTAACACATATATATGGAATTTAGAAAGATGGTAACGATAACCCTATATGCAAAACAGAAAAAGAGACTCCGATGTATAGAACAGACTTGTGGACTCTGGGAGAAGGCGAGGGTGGGATGTTTCAAGAGAACAGCATCGAAACACGTATATTATCTAGGGTGAAACAGATCACCAGCCCAGGTTGGGTGCATGAGACAAGTGCTCGGGCCTGGTGCACTGGGAAGACCCAGAGGGATCGGGTGGAGAGGGAGGTGGGAGGGGGGACCGGGATGGGGAATACATGTAAATCCATGGCTAATTCATTTCAATGTATGACAAAAACCACTGCAATGATATAAAGTAATTAGCCTCCAACTAATAAAAAAAAAAATTAAAATTAAAAAATTAAAAA